TATATATATATATATATCCACCTATCTTTCGATCTATCTATCCATCCTTCCACCTATCTATCTATAGATCTGCATTATGTGGTAACGGACTGCAAGTTCCTTAGCCAAAGCGGCGCAAGAATGGCAGTGGGAGTACGGTCGCACTCGGCAGCTTTAGGGGTTCAGCTTCGGGCCTTCAGGGTTTGGGGTTTAGGGTTTAGGGGGGGTTTTAGGGTTTAGGGTTTAGGGTTTAGGGTTTAGGGTTTAGGGTTTAGGGGCGCGCAGACAGAAACAGCGACAGGTTTCACAACTAAGACCGTAAAACCGGCAGACTAGACCGCAACGAACGCCAAAACTTTTGATAGCGCTGACCAGCATGCGGCAATGAATGCACTGGATCCGCCCGCAACCCGGCATCGGCAATAACCTTACGGTTCGAGCACCTTCAGAAGGCACGGAGATCCTCCGGAAGATGTATATCCCAAGTAGATAAGCCCTAAACCCTGTATCCTAAACCCTAAACCCTACAGCCCTAAACCCTGAACCCTAAAGCCCTAAACCCTATCAAGACCGTCCCAGATCCCCATGGGGCCAGGAGCTTCCAAAGCAGCTCTACCCAGCTGTGCCAAGGCCCTAAAGGGCCTAGAACCACGAAACTGCGTGGAGTCAGGCAGATGTCACGGCTGTAACCCTGAACTACCTCAAGCCCTCAACCCTAAACCCTACTCCTAAACTGTCTGGTGCTTAGTAGGGAATGGGGGAATGGATCCCTATGATAGTCCCTCAAGGTCCCTTATAGTAGTCCCTGTAACCCATTCTCCCATTCCCTACTAAGCACCAGACAGTTTAAACCTTCAACCCTAAGCCCTCAAAGGTTTAGAATGTGGGGGTTTCCGAAAATAGGGGACCCTAATTATAGTCCCCAAATAGTAGGATCCTTATTATAAGGACCCGAAACCTAAACCCTAAACCCTAAACCCTAAACCCTAAACCCTAAGTTTCGGAAACTCCCATGTCTTCTCACACAGAGGGGCTGCAGCCGCAAGCTGCCTGTGCCGGCCGCATCGAGCTCTCCCAGCACCTCCTGCAAAGAGAGAGTCTACCGTTTCAGACACCAGAGACTCTGGTGCTTAGCAGGGAATGCGGGAATGGGTTACAGGGACTACTATAAGGGACCTTAAGGGACTATCATAGGGATCCATTCCCTACTAAGCACCAGACAGAAGAGAGAGTCCACCGTTTCAGACACAGAGATAACTCTAATATACTACACTAGACTATAGACACTCTCTCTCTCTCTCTCTCGCAGACTATACTAGGAACTACCATACTATACTATACCATACTCAGCTTCGAGCAAGCCAGGCGAGGTACACCTGACGCCCACTCGTCCGCAGGATGCTTCTATTGCAACAGGACTGTGAGTTCCTTTAGCGGTGCCGACTCTTACATGGAGACCGGATCTGATCCGTAATACTCCTGTACCATGCTAACAGTGTCATGGCATACTATAAAGTGGGGTAAACTTACACTAAAGTACTCTAGGGGCTCGTATTGGTAAGGAAGGTTGCCTTCTGGCCTGTGTGGTCAAAGGTTTCAGCGGTTTCGGGTGCTGTGGTTCGGACGCATTCAAGACGTCCGAGTCCCCAGAGGCAACCTCGAAATGCTCTTCAGAAGCACGGATGTCGAAACAAACATGCCGAAATAAATACCAAACCCAAAATCAGCTAGCGCACACACACCCTCCCCGCACTGGAATCTCAAACACAAGACAAAGAAAGCTTGAGGGCTGGGTTACCTTTTTCGTCACCCCTCTCTGGATATAAAATCTCCACCACGCACGGAGAAGCGAAGCCCCACCTGAAACGGCCTCCCCAAACTCTCTGTGCGTCCCGCAAGTCACTTCTCAGCCTCTGAACACACAGCACGACGCGACCCGATTACTGAATATCTGACTCAATCTCCAAACACAAAGCCAATAGATCAGCCAAATCGCACAGATTGGTGCTCGAATGCAGAGGCCTGACTACTTAGACTAGGGACTGGCAATTGCTACAATCCAAGAATCCTACTGCGTGCTACATACATACGACGTACATGCATCCGCATACGTACCTCAAAGACGGCCAGCCACCCCCCCAAACCCTAAACCCTAA